AAAAAAAAAAAAAAAAAAAAAAAAAAAAAAAAAAAAAAAAAAAAAAAAAAAAAAAAAAAGGAAAAGAAGTTGGAATTCCCTCAAAAAGTGGAAAGAGATGAAGAAGACAATAATACTGTGGAGGGTGAGAATCCCACATCGGAAAGAAGTTACTGAGTCAATCTCTCCTGCGCATATATAAAGCCATCAACGATACTCTTATTCTTCACGGAGCCGTGCGGTGAGCACAGAGCGAACTATTCTTTCGCCTTTTACTAAAGAATACCGTGTGCTCGCCGCTCCAAGCGGCATACGCCTATTTTTGGAGGGGACCTCTCTCATGAGTGTGTCCCCACATCAACCTGAGTTACAAATTAATTTTATTTTGTTATTTAGATTGTATAATTGAATTATGTTATTCGTTTTAGTATACGACTATTGGATTTTTTGTCGTTCCAGAACAATTTTCAAGGAAATTTTAATCGTTCCAGAATGAATGATTTTTCTTTGATTGGTTTGAACCTAATAACAAATTTGGAACCTTAAAATCTCAGGATCTTACATAATAAATTCATCAGAGCAGCGATTACAGAATGATAAAAGGATCCAAAATCCAATCTGATTTATGACAATACATGAGCCAACTAAGAGTTGTAGAACTAGAAAGCAATTTTTCCATCAATTCCATCTAACAAGCAGAGATTTAGACTACACCATGTGAGGGATGCAGAGAGGTACTCTGGCTTTATAGAACGCCTTCAAGCACATTGCTCTCGTATGTCGACATCTTTGAAATACCAGTATTCAACTCGGGGGCATGATTTTTGGTTGTAGTTTGAGAACGATCTGATAGTAAATTGGAGTGATTAATCCTCTATATGAAGAAAACGAATCGATTGAACAGTCTAAATGTAGAAATACCTTAGTTTTCTCATTTCTTCCAACGTAATCACTGAGTTGTTTCTCCCTCATAAGCTCTTTTCCTGCTAATTTTAGCTGAGTCGTATCCTCACTAAGAAGTCCCACATCTAAAAGGTGAGATAATAGACAATCTCGTTTCTAGTCACTTTCATTGAGAATTATAAGGTTGACTAAAACAAAGCAATTTATTTTCTGAGCAACAGTTTAAAAAAATTAGTGAACATGATGTGTGAATGGATCTCTTTCACCAAGTATCAGACAGAAGTGGGAATATTATGAGGTATTGTGGGTATATTAATATTTTAGCTGAGGAGGAGTTGTTTTGTTACAAATAGAGTGAAAGGGAAGGAATGAAGGTACACAATTGTTCACTGACTTTAGGCTTGAGTGGCATCTCAAGAGGGGAGGTTCCAAGTACCTCTAATACTACCCAGGAGTTCAATTGTAATTCAGTAATCTTTTATATTTCAATATATCCGAGTTCTATCAAGAGCATCGGAAAATGTATTCTCAAGAGAGAGCTACCCCTAGAAACTTCTTTTGACATAATTTTCCTTGAAATTTAATATTGTTCCCCTGGGGAATTGATATGAACCAGATATTCTTAATGTTAACATTGCACAGAAGTTCATATCTCGAGGGCACATGAACTAAAAACAAGCAGTAAACACCATTATGCTATGGGATCTTGTTTTTTGAGTCAGTTGCAACTTTGTGCTAAAGGACTAAACTTACAATTTGACAAAAAGAAAAAAGATGCATGTTGGATTGAGCACACATATTTGCAGTTGAGATAAAGTTTGTCAGTTTGAACCCCAAACAAACTTAACAAGGGATCTTGATTAAGGTTCAGAACTCTAATATCTTGATTAAGGTTCAGAAACTCTAATAATATAGAACTGATAGGAACCAAAACAGAACCGCTATGTGTTACAATATAAAAGGTAAAGAACTAAAAAGCAAAGGGAGAAAAATGAAAATACCAGATAAAAGTTGTTGATAGTGAGTGGAACCAGAAACACCCAATAAATCAAACTTTGCAGCCAATTCCCTTTCAATAGTTTCAAAATGGTGTCTCAACACAAGATATGATAAAGGCCTATTGTGGATAACCATGTCCTGTAGTGAGAAAATAGATATCAATCAATGAGAAGATGCAAGAGAGTAGACTAATAGTTACAACATTCCCTTCTCTAGAAAAGAAAATTCTACTCTCAAAGCTATAGCAACAGTTCTGATTTCGAATAAGGGAAAAACTAAATATCAAATCAATTAATGAGAAGATGCAAAAAAGATAGAAAACAGTTCTCTCTCAAAGCTCAAACAGTTCTGATTTCAAATGAGGAAAGATTTAGAAAAACAAACCAATTCGTTAAAAGATGCAGAAGAATAGGCTACAAGGCACAGCATTCCATTTTTCTGAAGAAAAAAAAAAAAATACTCTCAAAGCTAAAATAGTTTTGATTTCAAATGGAATGCCTGGACGTCAATCACAAAATCCAACAAGAAAAAACAATTTGGAATCGCGATGATTTTGCATTTATTCTGCTCCACAATCTAGGTTAACTAAACAACGGAACTTTCTACGATTTTCTCATAATCCAAACAAGAAAAAGGGAATAGAGAGAAACCTTAGACGCGTACGACTTTGCTTCTGATAAAGCTCTCAAAAGAGGTGTAGCTTCACATCACAGCCATCATAAGATGATTACAAAGGAGAAAGAAACATACAGGAAAAAGAGAAATTATTTGTTCGAATTGCTAATTTCCAAACCTTTGGGATCGCCATAAAAGGGAAGTAGACGGGGTTGGAGTTCTGAAACAAGCCGATGGATTTGAGATTGGAGATTGAAAATTTGAACGACTTCCGAAGTAACTTCTTCGATCAACAAGTTGCTCTGACACTCATAGAGAAACTCGTTCCCGCCGGAATCGTCGCCAGGTTTGACGTGAACTCTCACCATCTTTTTTGGGCTTCTCAGTTCTCGGGCGAGTAATCGCTTTTGTATTCACTTAACATCTTAACAAAAACTAATAAAATCGTAGTTTAGTTAAAGTTCTTAATTTTAAAATTGGTGTCTACTAGGTTATAAACATTCAAACAAATATATATTATTTTAAAACATGGAATAAATTTCTAAATTTATTTTTAATTAATTTATTTCTCTCCAATGAGTTCAAATCAATAAAAAAATAAATTAATTTATCAATGTATAGTCTAGTAAACCTATAAATTTGGATGGAATTCGTTCTTACTTCTCACTCCCTTCCCTTTATTTCATAGATCCTTTGATAACGGTGAAAAGCCTTCTATTTCCATCAAATGATCCGTCCTCCTCTGACTCTTCCACCATCCGGCTACCTTTTCCGTCCATGCTATGCTCCCTCGGCACAAGCCTACCACACTTCGCACCTGCGGTATTTTCGTCAGACGGTCTTTACCAATAGTGTCATCCTCCCCGCTCGTTGTATGAGCAAGTTGCCCTTTGCTGATGCATTCTGTTAAGCTATAGATTACAGGAACAAATGTAGTTGAATGAGACAGCAGGCAGGTTACACGTTCCACTGTACTAAGATGTGAGGTACAGCTGGTGATGATTACCCCACGAGATGTGAGGTACAATTGGTAATGATCATCGTGTAGCTGGTGATGATCATATTGATATTAGTTCTTCTCGTAATAATCGATAAAATAAGCAAATAATTTAAGTTCTTCAATTATTTTAAATTCTTAAGGGTAATCCTATCATATAAAAAATAAGAAAAACATAAAGACAAGAAAATTTCAAAATCCATTTGCAGAAAGTGGAATTTAATATATTCATATTTAACTACCGTACACCGCTCAATCCATTCGACATCATAATTAGACAGAAAGATTTTATAAATAAATATAGACTAAAATTATATTAAAAAATTTAAACTAAGTAATGTAGAGACCACCCCGAAGGAAGGACCCTCCATAAATAGGCGTATGCCGCTTGGAGCGGCGAGCACACGGTATTCTTTAGTAAAAGGCGAAAGAATAGTTCGCTCTGTGCTCACCGCGCGGCTCCGTGATTTTACCCTCCACTGGCTGGTTCCTTTTATACCTCCTGGGAATGCTCGAACACACAGAGATTACCGATGTGGGACAATACTGCTCCAACACCCGTGAGTTTTATTCCTTACAGAACGCCCCCGTAATTTTGTCCCTTCTCGGTGTGCTCAAATTCTCCCCCAGGCCACCCGCGAGTCCGACTCGTGGACGCCTCCGATTCTCTGCTCTCAGCATCCGCCGTAGGCTTCATGAAGGGAGAGAAGAGAGAAAGGAATTGAAACACTAAGAAAAATAATTTTAAGAATACATGTATGTAATCTACAAAAATAATACAGAATTTGTCACGAATTAATTAAGGAAATGGACTAAATTGTAGTGGAATCTTTAGATTTTTAATATGGTTCTATAATTTGAATCTAGTTTCCTTTTTTGGTTCAACGTGTTAGAACGGGAATCCGGAACTCATATCTCTTCGTGCGTGATGCATTTTCATCTACAACATATTATACAATTAATTTGCGATACACTAGCTAGTGCGTGATGCATTTTCATGGCTGTGAACACGGCGCTTGCTTCAGGTTAGTCTTTTCTTTTCCTTTTTCCATATTCAATTTCTCAAAGCGTATCGTTGTTGCTCTAATTTTGGGAGGCAGATAACTAGTTGTTCGGAGTCCTGATTGTTTCTTTTTCTATGATTAGAGAACTGTAAACTTATCGATTATCGAAAGATTTTCTTTAGAAAACATAATGATTTTGCCTATTATTTGAATTTCGAGACTCCACTCTACTGTCTGTTGATCGAGAAGAAAGTAGCATGCATTGCCGTCTTCTAGGTTAGTTTCTGGATAGTGTAGTTCGCGCCTGACTAATTGAAAACTCGATGAATTGATTCAGTCGAATTCGCGAATGACTTTTTACTGGGCGATATCTAGAGAATAAGGAAGTTTTCAGGTCAATTTGTTTGTGTGGATTTGAGCTAGATTAATGGAGAGTGCATGAGATTCTACATTACATTGCACGAGAATGAATAATGTAGGATTTTCTTCGGTGATCTGGATTTATGAGAATTAAGCCTGTGCATATTCTAAGTGCAGGCATTCCAATTCTAGACTTCACAATTTCAAGCACATTACCTAATTTACGAAACCTAACATGAAAGCCTCCCCAAAGCAATGATGGTTTCCTACACAATGGAAATTTTTACCCTCATGAGTGCGATAAGCAGGGGCTTTCTTCAATGTATAACCAGCTTTATGGATTTGGTTGATTACATAGAAGGACGTCTTTGGTCCTTATTTATTGGAGATTTGGATTTATCTAATGAAAAGATCGGAAATAGTTGCTGAAATTGGTTAAGACTGACATTATGTTGCATTTTCACACAGTTCTACATATTGTACTCGACAGTACAAATTACAGATAGCCATGAACAACATTTTGCGTTGACTTATAGCATACCCAAGATAGGACTCTTGTAAGAAGAAGAAGATGTCATTGATATATTATGTCTGTACTTTCTTGTTCTCGATCAGTCTTTATCAGCCCCTGCAAAGTTCTGGTTTTTCCTGATCATCAGAAACTGTAAGGCTGGAGGATGATAATAAGTAAATTCCAACTTCACTAACTGTCTTCCTTGAACGCAATGGTTGCTGAGATTGAGATTGCTTGCAGTGTGCAATTGCTCCCTGAATTGAGTTCTCAATCTCTGAATTCACACTGCCACATCTCTTCAGGTAATACCCGCTCGAATTGTTTGGACATGAAGAGGGAGTGGGATTTAATGATGCAGAAGATGGTTTGATGTTTGGTTGCCTCTTAATGACCAATGAGAATGATCTTCTATTGCTTCTGCTGCTTTCCGTATTGCCTTTGTCTTTGTTGGAATTGGAGATGGAGCTTGAAATTGGTCCAAAGGGCTTTCTCTTTTCCACTTTGGCGCCCTTTTTTGAACATTCATTGGCTTTTGAAGCTGATCCTTCATCTGCAATCTTTGCAGCTACTGCACAGGACTCATCTGAGCAGCCTGTTTTGGTAAACAAAGATTTGATGTAAGCCCTGGAAGCTTTCAACTTAAGACCAAGTGTAGAACGTTTAAGCTTTTTAGTCCAGGACTTTTTTGAGCTTTCACCATTCAAATAGCTCGCATCTGCTGAATACTCTAGAAAATATTCATCTGGGTTAAGTTCCCTACTAATCCGAAAGGACTCGGAAGGAGAAATGTTGCAAGAATCAAAAGGAGTACTTGTTGCTGTAGGTGTATTGATAGAAGTGGTTAACGGAGTGCTGAAAAATTCCTCAAAAGTGTCTTTTCTGAAATCATAATCAGAACTAGACTTCTGCAAGAGTCTCTCTACCATTTGCAGGCGTGGGGGATGATGAAGGGGAAGAAGCTTCCCATTGTAGAAGAGCTCATCCGCTGGAGAAGTCGTCGGCTCTCTCCCCCGAGAATTCATAGACATTTGAAACTCAAACTCTCTGGATTGGCGCGGAGAGCTTTTGGAGTCGCAGAGAAAGTTGGTGTATGAACCAATTTCCATGTCTATATAGTCATCATCTGATGGATCATAAGATGGGATGTCAAAAGCCATATCTAGTAACTCCCTCTCTCTCTCTCTCTGGAATTGCTTATATGAAACTGTGCTTTATCTGGTGATTCAAGGGTAGGAGCACCTTTACAACTGAGGATGCTTGACTTTATATCAGGTCTATAGAGAATAAACTATGCATTCAAATAGGAAATTAGAACAGAATTGGAGCCACTCTGCTTGGACCAGCATTGACCCATATCACAATTTTATTAATTCTCAGTGATTTTTTTTAACACCTAGTGAACTAGTTTTATTTTCTTTCTTTTCTTTATTTGTTTATTTGTTTATTTGTTTATTTGTTTGTGTGTGGCTGATTTCTCATTGCTTTTCACTGTGCTACTACAAAAGAATGCACTAAAATAGTCTGGTCTCTTTCTTTAGTATTATTCTTTTATAGTGATGTAGAAAACCATTCAGAATTTAAAATAGTGAAATTTTGCTTCTTTTTCATGGGGGCTTACTTTGCTTGCAAATCACTGAAATTGGGTGAAATGTTTCTTAGGCAGAAAATTATAATCAAATAAACAAAAAGGGTTAGGTTAGCTGAGACATTGAACTTTATTCCAAAAGGAAAAGATATAGAAGGTAGAACTCAAGCAAAACAACAGTGTATTCTGAAGCTTAGAGTAAAAGGGATAAACCACAAAGTTTCCTTTCTAAATGCTAATCTAAGATTCTTAGACCAGGCACCTGAAATTAAAAAAAAAAAAAACAAGTAATTTAGCCATCTTTTTCAACAGCTGTGTGGCTCTACAGGCAAAGATCAGATTTAAGAACCAAACCATGCCCCAAAACCTGGCTTTTCTGCTCTCATACAGCATGCTAGCTCCTTCATATTTCCATGTGGCCCTTGACAAAAAAATTAATAAACAAGAATATGATTGAAGACAGCTCCTCTTTCAACTAGAACATTACTTTGAGCTCCAGAAGCACTTTTGTCTGATTTTCTTTCTTTCTACTGAATTCCTGGGTGGCTTTACTTTTAAATAACTTTCCCATCCAAATACACTGATTGGTTAGTGTTCCAATCTTCTCCCTTTTTTTTTTTTCTTTCTCCATTCCTTTTGTTTTATATGTTTTACACAAATGCTTACTTTTAGACTGCTCCTGTAAATTCAAACAATAGGAAAAAGTTGATGACCTTACAGTGAATTAACAATGTCCAGACATTTAATAGTGGAGGAGGGAAATTCCGGATCAGTTTTGCCTTGAATGCTTGAGATTTTTGTTGCTATTGTCCTCTCCTTTTACTACATTCTCCACGTTTTTGCTGGGTCTCACTCTCTTCGAAGATAACTTATTTTAGAGTTCCTCAGTTCCAAAATGCAAACAGTTTTGATATAATTAGTCTCGGAGGGTGTACATGGACTCCACAACTTATGAAATGCTTAAGAAGTGAGAAACAGTAAGCTTTAGAATTTGTCAGGAACTAGTCTGTGTGCTCTGGGAATATAGCTGAGAAGTATGTATTGATCTTGATTGGAATGATTCGCTCACTCATTTGATCTAACGATTGGAGTTGGGTAGCTCAGAGTTGTGTAGTTTGTGTTCGGATATAGTGAACCAAGGAATATGTAATAAAAACCCGAGTTTGTCAAATGTGTTCGATTTTGAATTTAATGAATTGCAAGTATATCGCAAAAGATATACTTAGCAAACCTTCCTATCATTACACAATCGGCCTATATTTCGAGAATTCCTATATATTTCTTGGAATTGAGAATTTGAAGTGTTGAATTTGAACTTTTAGTTTTTTATATTTAAGCACATTTAATTTTCACGATTCGTGAGTTGTTGAAGGCGTCAAATTAAGTTTCCGATGTCATGGATAAAATTTTGTGAGATATCAATAAATTGTATCCCAATCTTAAATCATAATTTATAATTAAATCAGCATCAGTTGTCAACAATAATTAAAATATGATAATTCTTTTTAAAGTTATCCTATAGGATCAAGCAAAAAGACAATCTCAATCTAAAAATAATATTCATAAATCATAAAATTCTTTCAAACAATTTAAATTTCTAGAAACAGTACACCCTGAGAAAAAGAAAACAACGAAACAAAATTTAAAATTGTGTTAAAAAAAATGAACCATTAAAAAGACAAACAAAAACCCACTTGCGATCACAAAGGAGTTTCTAATTTGCCAACTTGGTTTATAGATGAAAAGGATTGCTGCAAATTCCATTTTTTTAGTGCAAAAAAAGTACCAACGACCCATTGAGGGAGGGTCCTGTAATCAGACCTCATGATTTTACTTAATTTACAAAAATTGTACCTTTACGTTTTAAAAACAGTTCCAATCATTACCATAGTTTATAAATTAACAAATTAAGCCCTCCTGTCGATAAGCTTTAAAGAAACCCATATACTTTAATGCATACCATTAAAATAAACAAAATTTTAACTTTTAGATTTCACAAACCACACGCTTTCAGAACAAAATTAAAAATTTAACAACATGCTTTGCGAAAGAACAAATCAGTAAAGTATAAGTTTACAAGTAACCCTTTATGACAAGCATAGAGTGTGAAAGGCCAGCTCATTGGCACCACAAAACAAAGCAACTCAGATATTTAATCAAACATCAACATAGAAATTCAAGAGAGAGAGAGAGAGAGAGAGAGAGAGAGGCCACAAATAAGATCCATCTCAGAGACCCACCACCCAGAAAATCAGGATGAAAAGCTAACTTCTTATTGGCCAAGGCCTAAGGGGGTTGACAACTAGAATCCCTTTAGGCTAGGGTTCTTATTAGAAGTAGAAATTTCATTCTCTATCCCACCACAACTCTAAAACAATTAGTTGCAGCCAAAAAGATGTGACTGCTACTGTTTCAAAGCTGCCCTTTCAAGAAAGATTTGGGCCAGGCATGTTTCAGCCCACTACTTTCTGTGACCTATCCTTGAGGACAGAGAAGGCTCATTCACCATCATGGTGTCCTTCAAAAGATGAGACAAATTCCAGAACTACCATATCAGGAAACCTTTCTGCCACATATCAATATTAACAAAAATCTCCTAATCCCACACCAACTAATCTGTCAGGAAACATTGGGGTCTCCCACTAAGGGATGGTTTGCTTAAGAAACTAAAAACTTACCCCTTGCAGTAAAGTTATCTAAAAGGTTGGACTTACTTGCATATTAAGTCTTCTTGATTTGACTGTTTCCCTTCTTTGGCTTTTATATTACAACACAAATGTTCCAGAATTTATACAAGTGAACAAATAAAAAAAACCACAAAATGTACAAAGAACAATTACAAGAGAAAGATTATGATCCAATTTTGCAGTTTTGGGGGAATGCCGAACGCAAACCTACGACCTTTCTTCATTATAAATTAGTTTGGTTCATTCATGAGTACATAGTATGACAGAGCTAGTTCTTTGAGTCACCTGATCTCAGTTCCCTTTCGAGCTCGTCGAACTCCCATTCACCAATGTCTTCTGCTGAGTAGTCGTGAGCAACTTTCCCAAATTCTGATTCCAGCTGAGCTAGCTCAGCTGCAGTGTCTAGTGTCTGTTCTGCCTTGACTGCAGGTGGTTTGGGATAATTACCAGTTTCATCTTTTGGGTTCTTGCTGTCTTCCAGCGGAGGTTGGGGAACACTACTCTGCACCTCCTCTCTAGATTCATGTTCTGGTTTTGGAGGTGGAGTTTCGATTTCTAGATTGGGTCTCTCGATAGCTTCAAATTTTTCCCGTAGTTTTTCAATATCATCAAATAATTCTTGGACTCTAGAATCATCCTTCCTGAATCGGGGTAAAAAGAAGAGTTGCTTTTGGGTAATAATGAAATGTGACAAAAGAGGAGTGAGGCAGAATTAGAAAAGAATGCATATCACAAAATTACCATCCATATCTTACCTGGAAACTTGAGTTTGTTGAGCCAAAAACTGCTCTTTCATGTTATCCACAACGCTGAAGGTAGTAATAATCTGAAGCAAGATAACAAATCAAGGTTATAGTTGTTCAAACATCCGAGATGAAGTCAACATTACACTTGGCAGGAAAATTGTAGGCAGCGGATATATGCCCATTAATTGTGACAATATTTTACAAAGCATTCATTAAAAACGAAAAGGATGTATATACACAACAAGCCAATAACTGCACTGAAAAACAAGCCCCATGCAAGAACCTGCTCTAAGTTTACGAGTCCTGCATAACCATCCCAATGATCCATACATCAAAAAACAAGAAACGACTCGAAACAAAGAGTAGAAACCAAAAGAAAAGCATTGAAGCACTGCGCAGCATTCTAAACATCCCAACAATCTTGAATATATCTACTATTCTTCTCCACATAAATGTCCCCACACATAAAATTACAAGGTCTGAAACACTAAAACTTGCCTCTACTATGAAGGGATCAGAAGCTCAACCGACAAATCAAGAACAAATTTCCCAGACGGTTAGAAGAAACTTGGCCAAATGCAAGGAGATAAAATAAAGAAACAATAACCTTATGATCCATACCACCCGCTAGTAGCAGGCATTAGGAAATGAGGCCAGAGGCATACGATAACAGACCTCTTAATTCTCCTGAGCAAGTTTTAAGTTTGCAAAATATATATCATCATCTTTCCACCTTTACTTTGCACAGCCCATTCCCAATAGAAAAATGAAAAAAGAAAAAAATAGGAGAGGGGAGGGGGGATATGCTCTGAGATACGGATTTCCAAAGACACCACAACTTTACATGCGAAGCCAATATTTTTAATCTGAAGGTTCTCGATTGATGACCTCCCACACAAACAGATTTAGCCACATCATCCAGCTGCCCAAGAGACCGCTTCCCTTATCCACCCACTACCAAGGATTTCTCGTTCACTTCTCCAAAACATCAGCCGCTGAGCTCAATTTGTTTAACAGAAAAAAGTAGCAGATAGGAATCCTACTCAAAAGTAATTGGATGAAGGTAAGTCTTCCTCAAACGAAGATAACAATTTCCAGTTGAAGTCTATTTTCAACATTTTTCTAAGATAGGTTCCAAAAAATACCTAGAACTTAGCATATGCACCAGTCGGAGAATATGGTAAGGTAGCACAAGGGAAGCAGGACACGACCAGAAAACCAACGAAACCAGCATGATAAGCAAATGTACAATGTAACACCCTGCTCTGTTGATGGTAAGAGATCTGAAATCGACTAGAAAGTGGCTAGAACCCAATGGGGTTCTCCAAATTCGAAATTGAGACATTTCAGAGGGAAGAAATTAGATGCACATGTCAATATGATTAGACACTGGGTTACTACATCACAACTACTACTTTTTTTTTTCCCTTTTTCACCTTTTTGATAGGACAGATCGCACCAACTATATAAATTAATACGGCAGAAAAGGTCATTCAATTACAACCAAGCACAAGCATCATTTTTTCCTTCTTTTCTTAAAGAATCATTCCTGCTGAAAAATAGGAATAACAGAATATTAAATGAGGAACCAAACCAAACCAAACCAAACATCCCACCTTATGCCAAAAAAAGAAGGTTAATGAGAACCTGAGTTGAGATGACACAAAGGTTTACATGAATCTGCCCATTGCTTCCAAAAGAATTTAACGAATAGTCAAGCCTAGATTTCTGCCATTGAGAAACTTTAGTTTTCTTATCCTATTAGTCAAGCCTAAGTGTCTACCATCTATGAATCTGCCCCATTACTAGAAGCATTCCTCGTCTGTTTACAATAATTATAATTAGCTTAACTACTCTCACTTTTTGTAACTTCATCACATTAACAAAATGTTTCTTAACCCAAAAGAATAATATAAATAAATAAATCTATTACAAATGTAAACCAGGAACTAGTTATGCTGCCATTCCATCTTTTAAGCATGCTGAATATGTGAAAAAGTGTAATAGAGCAGATTACTGCTTATATATGCTATCTAAATGATTATAAAAATGACCAGTAATCAGCTCAGTTTACACAAGATATATTCACAGCATCATTATAATTGAAAAAATAATACTGTTGGATAAGCTGTTTCAAACTATATATATTTTGATGGGCAATGGGAACCATATTTTACACGAAGTCTCTTCACCTACCGCATCATACATTGAAATTAAAATAGAATTGGATAAGTAATCGAAAGTTATACCTTTGCTTCATAGTCTAGATACTCCTTTTCAATATTATTTGTAGGGCTTAGAACTTTTGACTCGTCACTTTCCAGTGTGGATTCCTGCGACCTGTCCAGAGTGATCTGATAGATAAGAAGCCATGCTTCAGAAAAAAAATAGGATCTTGATGACAAAAGGGAAAAAGTTACCTCTGCCTCAAATTCTTTAAATTCTCCACAAATTTTTCAATACGGCTGATTGACGGCTCCAACTCTTTCTATATCAGATTATCCGTGCAAGGTTTCAGACATGGGAGATCAGAGCTTATTCATAAATTATAAGTCACCATGTACTCTTTGATGAATATTATAAATACCTTATAAGCAGATAGAAGATCGATAGCCAAGTTGACAAAGTAACCTTCATGCTTTTCCAACGCATCACTTCAGAAAGAAAAGAAGTATTCAAGTTTCACAGAACTCAATTGAGAGAAGAAACATTGTACAATTCTCTTTTGCATATTCCAT